GGGAGGGAGGGAGGGAGGGGGGCCATCTGTTACACTGCCATATTGATCTTGGAACGCCAGCTCGATAGGGCTGCTGATCGGTGCATCACTGTTCTCTTTCTCAGGCATCTTGTACAAGAATAGAGTCTTCCTTCCGACATTGATTGACAGTGTGTTCTCCTGGACAGGCTCATGCGGATACCACCAACACACATAATATATCAAAGGCGCATTTCAAAGTTCAATCTTTAGAGAGAACTTTAGACTTTAAACAATGAAAGGACTCAAAAGGGCATTAATAAGGAATAAGGTGCTGACCTTCACACCCCAGATAGAATGAGATGAAGCATGAGGGAAGGGCCAGAATCTTTGGCTGTGCATATAGACCTATCGGTCCAAGCTCAGTACGGACCGTGCTAAGAGAGAGGGCCCTCAAGAGTCGGAAAAGAAAGAGGATAACCTGGATAAGACGTAAACAGGGTACCAAGGGGGAACAACCACCGTGGGCTCGGAAGAGACAGTTAAGGTTTAAACTATAAGGTTTAAGGTTACTGTAATTAAAGACTAAATTTTCAGGCAGTCGACAGTGCACGGCGAGAGGGACGGGCTAGAATTGCTCTTCTGTTTTTTGGGGGTTAAGGGTGAAATTCTAGACTGGAAGGGGTTGTGTCCCCACTGGGAGTAACTCCAAGTAATCAACGCTGTCAAGGGTTCTGCTGCCGTAATGGGCGAAGGGGGCGGGGGGCTTGGGGGGGTTGCCGGGGGGGGGTAGTTGGTGGTGTGGTTTGGTGGTGTTGGGGGCGAAGGAGGTGGGAGTTGGCAGGGAGGTGGGGAAGCATTGAGTGGGGGTATCTGTGACTTTTTTGCCGGTGGATAGGATCAAAAGTGACGCTCCGCAGAATAGAACAGAGCATGTTGAAACCACCGCTACATCTCCCAAGTATTTTCTTTTTCTGTCTGAGAAGTTAATAATTCGACGCGTCCTTGGGGACTCGTGTAGAGCAACAATCTTCAATGTACATAAGGCAACTCTTAGTGAGCATCGAGTCAACAGCGACAGCCACTCATAAAGTCCACACCACATCATACATTCAGGAGAACAGCCAACAACAAACCACGCACAAGAAGAATAAGACAGCAGGGTGAAAAGAACATGACACAGAAGACGAAGAGTATTACGCAAGGATAAAAATCAAGTCTCCCAAATGCAACTTGTCGTATGAAAAGCATTAAACTCTGGCGGCATGGACCCTACTAGTTTCAGCCGACCGCCACCGGCACTCGTCAGGGGTCTTCGGTCGCGGAAGGTACTGACCGAACAATTGATCGCCCTATTTATATCCTTCGTAGTCACCTAGAAATAGTCTACGGAACAATGATTAAGATCAATGGCCATAGTAGGCCCCAGGAAATTGCTGACTATCAAACGTCCGTAACTCATCAGTCTTACCACCGCCGCCAAAGGGGTTCGAACTTCGAACCCCAGACCTTATAATCGCTTATCAGCACTGGCCTAACCTCATACGACCAAATTCAAAGAACATACTATCTCCAAAAACTGCAACTCCTTGCAAATCAGCTCATCCGTCAAAAATCCTTCATCATTGGGACTAAGCCCATTCAGTCCTTCACAAGAGGAGACTTCCGGAACAGATCAACAAAGGTCCCCTATTGGGAACCAACACCCACAATGCCCATTTCAACAAAGGTCCCGTCGTCGGAACCAGCACCCACGATACTCACATTCAAAACAAATCAGCATGGGTCCCTCAGTGGGAAAAAAAAAAAAAAAAAAAAAGGAACCTACGCCTACCATGCTCACTTCCTGACCCTCCGCAGCAACCGATCCCAATTAGTAAGAATTGAGATCCACGGCCCCCAACAGCCTGCAAACTTTCTTGAGATTTTTTTTTTTTTTTTTTTTTTATAATAAAAAGGTCTCTTTATTATTAGGGCCCAGTGCCCAAGGCAGTATACACAAATTACAAAGGTTTCAGATTCAGGGGCCGCAAGGTCTCCACAAACTTCTCTGTGAGGTGGAGCCCCTCCTTTGTAGCCAGAGGTGAGTATAAGCCGTGAGACGGAACAACCTAGTATTGTTTACAGGTCACGCAAAAAGAAAGCAAGAAAAAAGAATTTTAAGAATAAAAAAACAGTAAAACAAAATTAAGAAAAATCTTGCTAAAGAAAAACAGCACTACGAACTAAAAAGTCTACACATGCCTACAAAAACAACTAATTAAAAACAACTATTTTAAAAAAGATCACAGTTTGCTAAACAGAGAACAATGTCTGAACAATGTCTGTAAAATTTGAGCCTCATCACTTACTATGTCTGCAAAAAAAGACCCAAAAAGGAAGTCTCCTGTGCATGTATCTAAATTTTTACCAGTGCCCTGTCAAAACTTTCTTGGGGACTCGGCCTGCCAAGAAGAAAATTGTGTAGTGCCGTTTTGTGTTTTTTTTGTCGCACATGCGGCACATCACAATCTGACTCGGGGGAGAGACCCTCCGACATACTGGTGGTTAAAATTTAAAACGAAAAAAACTTCACAAAAAAGTTCAAAAAAGAAAAAGAAAAAAGGTAAAGAGATTGAAGAAAGAGAAGCACACCTTTCTCAGCCTTTTGGCTAAAACAATAGTAAAAGATTGAAAATAGATTTGTTAAAATAAAAAAAAAGATCCAGTGTAATAACTGTTCTGATCGGTTAAATATATGATCCTTGGTTCATCATTCAGACCTTTAGAATTACAAAAAAAAAAAGACAAAAAAAAAAGACCAAAAAAAAGACAAAAAAAAAAAAGAGAAA